AGAAGATGGATTACAGTCACAGGGCTTAAACTACTTCCCATCTGTGCTGTTCACGGCTCTTGATTCAGTTATGCATAGTACCTACCGGTAACTACAAAGTAGACGACACTCAACATGCAGATTAATGGGATTAGGCCTTTCCCTGAAAACATCATTACAATGAAAATGAACTTCGTTATGGAAAGAAAAGGTGAATAAAAATTGTTTATTAGTTCTTCAGTGCGTCATCATTTTACCACTGGTATATAGATTTATGAAGGAGAACACTGCTGTTCAGATATATAAAACTAAATGACACAGAATGTGTTTATTCACCTATATAGCCCTTTTGAATTCCCCAGCTGCTTCAGAGGGCAGTATCTATAATGACTCAAATCAGCCTTAAAATTGCTGTGAATCTGAGAAACACTTGACATATTGTTGCTATAACCCAAAGACACTGGAGGAGGTCAACATCAAACTGTCATGCTTGTGTTAATATTCTAAACAGTGGTGTCTGTGTTTATCCAGTCAGAAAACGTTTATGTATAGTACATCCCCTGTAGTAGCATTCTTGAATGTATTTTCTTTATGTTATCTTACAAGGTCCACAGAGTTCTGTAGGTCAAGCAAAGGAACTTGTTCAGAACAGCCACATTAGGACAGAGCTGCATGAAAAAACAGTGCTAGGTTACAAGAATGCCTAGTTAACATGACGTAAAAGTATTATACAGCAAAGCACAAATTAATAAAACAAACAATGAAGATAAATTGTTATTAAATTATAATAAGAGTAAAGATATTGTTACTGAATAATAACACACTTGTGATTTCATGCTTATTGGCAGATTTATTTCATTAATAGAGGGCAAAGTTTAGTTTCTTTATGCTCACTAGATTTATGATAAGAGTTCAAATCGATTTGATTATTTTCTTTTGTCCAATTACCACGTTTATGTTAATGTTTTGTTATAAATTGGGTTTTGATGTACAAAAAACGTTACGAATCAAAACATATCACAGTACATTATTACGGTTCTGTGCTCTATACTGATTCTCCCTTATTTGTTATTCAAAAATTAATCACTGAGATTATATACAGTATATATTTAAATTCTGTGTGTTTTTATAGGCAGCATGGTAGTGCAGTGGTTAGCATTGCTGCCTCAGTGCTGGGACCCTGGGGAGGTTAATTGGCTTCTGGAAAAACTAACCTTCTTTGCGTATGATTTGTCTGTCTGCCATATGATGGGGTGTTCTCCCATTCAGGAAGTATACTGCTTTTAGCCTGTTGCTTGCCAGGATAGACTCAGGCACCCCCCTGTGACCCTGTAAATGCATGACTATAAAATGAATGGATAGATGTGGTTTTATGCTATTAATTTATTTGAGAATGAAGGTTGCAAAACTCAAACCATCCATGAATGTGAAGCCTTGAAAATACTAGCAGAGATTTTTTGCATTACTGATTTGTTACCTATTGCATCCAGTTGCAATAGAACCATGATTATGATTTATTTGTATTGATCTCTTCTTCCCATTTACAGTCTCTCACACACTGCAATACTGACTGCAATGCCTGTGCTCATTGAAATGTCTGCAACACAGCTGGGGTCATCAGAATCCCAGATGAGCTTTGGAGGCATAGTATTTGGCTTAATTTTATTTTCTACCTTCTGCAGCTGTTACTTGAAGGTCGATATAGTTTACTTGAATAAGAACCCCCCCCCCCCCAAATATGATTAAACAATCATAATCTGGATAACCTATAGATTGCTTCTTAAGTAAAAATATAAGGTGATGTGTGCAAACAGGTGACAAGTTCACAAGGCATTAATTTGGCAGCATGTCAGACAACAATATTCAGCTTTAAAACTGGGCCTGATCACACAATCCCTGTGGTTAACTTTATTTTCTGATCTTTAAGCTGATGCCATGGGAAAAAGATTAACAGTGACTGAATAAATTTGGTTTAAGAATAATGATGATATGTAGGTCTGAACACTTTTTCTGAACTGGAATATGCAAAAACCTTAATACATTTCTGTTGATGACAAGTTATAGTATTTATAATATGTCAGGTGGGAGCTGCGTCAGCATGCGTAGGCTGCAAAGGAACAAGTAATAGGTTTATTCCATGCTGGAAAAAAAGAAGAAAGAGAACACAACGTTTCGGCCGAAACATTGTGTTCTCTTTCTTCTTTTTTTCAGGATGGAATAAACCTATTACTTGTATTTATAATATGCCTCTCCTAAAGCATATCTATATTATTTAATAAAAATTGGGTAATATTACAAATCTTTCAATTTCTATGAAGCCATTACTCAGATGTTTGTCCACACAAAACCTACGGTTAAAATATTCTTTGACATTGCATTACAGATAAAACCGCTTGTATGCCACAAAACTTTTCTGCATCTTAATTGTGTTCAGATGTCATTTAATTTGGGTTCCTAGCATCATGTAAAACCAGGGCTGAACCTTGTACCTTATTAATCAATACCACTGTGCTCTGGTCTGAATTCTAAATAATTTCTCAGTGATATAACATTTGAATCTCATGTCTCACTATTGTGTAGAGCTGTATTTTTTTCCATCTGAGAGAGACTGCCAGACTGTGGCCAATGCTGTCTGTAGCAGGAAAACAGTCAGACACTGTTTTTTCAATGATGGATTATTTCTTTACTTCATTGTTTTGCTTTGCTTTGATAATTGCGATGCCCCACTTTCAGGAGTTCCTAAAATTGCACTTACATTATAATATGTGCACAGTCTTGCAACTAGAATTCTAAGTTGCATACAATCACTTGTCTCAACCCTGTCTTAAGAGTCTTAGAGCTAGTTGCACTGGTGTCTCACCTGGTCTCAAGTTTCAAGTCCTTTTGCTTATGTTCAAAGCTCTACATGGTTTGTCTCCCCAGCTGATAAATTGATTATTCTGCTCCCCAAATAATTCCAGTTTATTATGCATTTCCACTATTTGTCTATCCTTGATGGATGAATGACCCTTTAGTTGATGAATCACAAAGCTCTGGAATAACATCTTAAATGAAATCAAGAGCTCAGCCTGAAAGGAAACTTTAATTTTAACTTCAAATCCTTGACATCGCTGCTGTGGAAAAAAAGCATGTAAGAAGAGTCTTCTTGCAGTTGTTTTATCTGTGCTAGCTTTGCTTTCTTCTATTGTAATTTTCTTAGGTTTTATTGGTGTTATTGCTTTTTATGTATTGTGCAGAATTTTGAAAAGAGCTGTGTAAACTAGTTTATTATATAAAATTGACTGTTCATTTAACTTTATGTTCTGTTTTTTGTTTTCATTGTCTGGTTGTCATAAGTAACAACAATATATGTTCCCCACCACACCATCCATACAGTATACTGTAGAGGCAACTATAAATTACTGCTAAAATATTAAATTTACTAAAATATTAAATTTGCAATATCAATTCATAGGAAACAGCAAGCTTTAAAAAATTCTGTAGCTTTTGTTTTTTTCCCCCATGCATTTACAGCAAAAGGTTTTCAAAAGGGTAATCCTGTTCATCCTACAGAATACACCACCTGCTGGTGCAGGGTCACACCACAATACACTCCCATAGCATCTTTGCTGACTATCATTGAACTGTTTGTGTGATGATTCATGCCACTGTAATCCATAAACAAAAGTAGTGGAGTTAAATTGCTTTATTTCTTTTGAAACATTGCATCTGATGGCACAAAATAAATTGTAAAGGACAGAAAAAAACACATTGCTAGGAGATAATGATTTAAATACAAAAATGAAAGCAGTATAATAGAATGTTACATCATAACCTTGTACAAAACCTGCCATTTCTCAAACGTTGATGAAAATAAGATACTCAGATACAAGGACGAACATAAATCACAACTGGATGGTTAGTGCGACAACCAATTCCTAATCATACACACTCAAATATAAAGGCCTATGAAACATGCCTAAAGCATTAAGACCATTTTACCAAGGGAACATTGAAAATACTGAAAAAGAAACAGGTTTGTTTCTGCCTGGAATACAATAGGCCCCAGTAAAAGTAATATTCACCATATTGGTGTAGAAACACAGGATTCATATTCAGTTCATTTAACCAGCAAAAAATAAGTGGTTTTCATAATACATGTAGAGAATTGCAATTTAAAATATAAAAGCCATCCACCCATTTACATCAGTTTTCTTTAATATGTACACATGTAAACAACGTTAGGATTAAAGAGAGATTAAGAATTAGTTACTGTACCAAAATTGTTCTTTCTGTGCGTTAATTCAATATGTCAACTCAAACGATGCCGTCTGCACTAAACTGGCCTCCCAAAGTAATGAATACAGTATATTCAGTACCGGCATCATTTTGTATTGGTCTTCTTTGTCCACACATTTCAGCTGTATTTTCACGTCAACACTACGGAACAACAACTTGAAACATAAATGCTACTTTAACACCCATTTATCAGTGGAGTCATTCATTACACACATCCTTGGATTAATGGAGTTTCACTTAAATATCACTTTAATGAAACTGAGATTTTTTTATAATAGTGAAGTGATCCATATGAGCTAGGTACTTATAGAAGTACAGATTTACTGATTGAGTGTGTAAACCATAGGCATCACTGCATAATAAATAAATAAATGGTACTGGAAAGGAGTTTATTATCCCTTTCACCTGAGGTGAGCCCACATACAAGAAGTCACAAAAAAATGAGCTTGTCAGTTTAAGCCGAGCTCCCAGTTGATGTTATTTACGCAACACAATAGATGTGAGAAGGGAAGGCCAAGTGGAACTTGTTTCAAATGCCCTTGGCATTGATTCTAGTCCCTGCTCTGAGCTATGAGCTGACAAACATGAAAAGTAAGAAAATGCAATCCACAAATCCACAGACATGAGATTCAAATGGAAAAATAAATAACAGAGCTGAGGTTCTCCATACTGATGTAAACTAATTAGATGCCTTTATATAAACAAGTGAAGGGTAGTTATGAAAAGCAGAGCAAAAACAATAAAAATCCATTTAAAAACCCTCTAAATATTTTAAATCCACTCTCACAATACTGCATCTGTACAAAAAGAAAATGAACCATCAGTAACAGTGCAGGTGATAACCATTGACGTACAACAAGACACAGAAATAAAGACCAAAAATAAATGTCCAAAACACTGTTTTAAATCTTTTTGAGAAAAAAATCTAATTTCTTTAACCTTTCAAGAAAGATTTGTTTCAAAGCAGTAAGTGAAACTGTATAAATCACAACAAATAAAGACCAAAAATAAATGTCCAAAACACTGTTTTAAATCTTTTTGAGAAAAAAATCTAATTTCTTTAACCTTTTAAGAAAGATTTGTTTCAAAGCAGTAAGTGAAACTGTATAAATCACAACTTAATTTGATTTTAAATAAGCTTACTGTATACAGTATATCTAACTTTTCACTGTTAGACTTGACTGTTACATTACACTTTATGACAACAGCTTGACTGAAACATCTTAATGCTGCTTATCTTAGTGCTTATTTATCAATCTTTTTTTTTTACAAAAAGTACATTTAAAAGCAATTTTGTTTCCAATTTCTTTACAGTGAACCAGTTACCTGCGCTGTATAGAAGAAAAAAATGATATTTGTCTATAAAGCAAAAATATGAACAGAGATTTAGAGGGGGCAGTGCATTTCCTCCTTCTTCCTAGTGTGTCTCCTATGGTCATGAAGACAGAGTGGTTTGCCTTTGTATACCTGATCTGTTTCTCTGCTTGTCATACTTCACTGACACAATCAGGAAGAGCAACAGGGTGACTCCTTGGATCCCCGCTAGCAAGAAAAAGTAGTAATGCAGAGAGCAACCATTGATGTTTCCTGGAGAAAGAAAAGAAAAAGCAAAGACATTAGTAAAAAAAAAAAAAAAACATTTTACCATCTGAAAGTCAATGAAAACAATTTATCAACTTCACATTAGACCACAGGCCTTCGAGGCAGTTCTTTCCCCAAGTTTCTTCTGCAACCATTACTTGGATCCTCCCCCCAAAAAAATTCAATACCCTTTAGCTTGAAGTAGACACACTAAAAATGGAACACGTTTTCTATTGTATTGCAGATCTGCTCCTTTTCAGAGAAAAGGGAAAAAATGAAAATGCCATCTGGCTCCTTGGTTCACAGCACACTGAAGGGGGCCAGCAAATGCCTGTGATGGGAGAACTGAAGTATCAGATATGACATATGCCAAAATCGCAGCTTTCAACTGTGGCACAGACCTGGGAGCTCTTCGTTGGGATTAAGGGAGCTGTTGCTCCCGTTGGAGGAAAGTGAAAGCAAGGAAAACTTGGAGCTGGGGCTTTTGTTGCTCTCTTCACTCTAAGCCTAACATCTCACTTTGAGGGATTTAAAAAAATATGTTTTATTTTTGTAATCCTTGTGTTAAAACCAAAGCAAATCATTAAAGGAAAAAAACAAAACAAAACAAAACAAAAAAATCACAGAACTGATGCTCACTAGAAATGCAGATGGCAAAGCTTTGACCTGCCTCCAAAGTTTTTTGTGGATCCTGGATCCCTTATTGAACCCTCAAAGTCACCAGCTTCTGACAGAAAGATATCAATGCTCACAGACTGGAGAACAGGCAGACTGGAAAATCCAACAAGTCAGCCAGAGATCACCATCTATCACTGCTATTCAATATTATCAACATAACTCATTTGTGGATTAGCATTAGCATTTTTCCCTCCTGGCACCACTGGAAAGGTTTTGACTTTTGAAGCATGCAGGGCAACTGGAATGATTTCAAGAATTTTATCACCAGACGCCTTGAACAGAATTCTAAACAAAATCTTTTTCCCCATTAAGAGTTTCATACGAAAGGAAAGGTTGACAGTCGCCATAATCCCCAACTTGTAACCCAAGCAATAAAATATTAGCATCTTTCAGAAGCATAAGAAATCATTCCCACTTGGGCATCTTAGCTAATCTAATTAAAAAGCAGCATCTTACTACCTATTGGTACTATGAATTAATTTACAGATATTCTTATTTAGATTATCATAAACAAGTATGGTCAACATCTAAGGATTACCATTCGGTTTGATAAAACTATTCACTATTCATTCAGGTACTCTTCAAAGTCAAATGAATTTATAATAGTATGCTCTATGCTAAATCAGCCTCATACAGAAATATACATTATAACTCATATATACTGCATATATATATACTCATACAAAAAAAGGTTTAAAAAAATCTGTTGCAGTACAGAAATAATGTCTTTTACTTCATGAAAAGAGCAAGACCAGAATAAAAAAGGTAAGCTTTGGGCTTTTTAATTGGATAAGGTTTAAGTCCACTGAGAGTGTGTCATTTCTCCAAGCTATACCCAAGAGGTGGCTAAGAATGGTTTGAAGGATATCAGGTTGAGAGACAGTGGCATCTAATTATACAGTGCCTTTTCCCAAGTAGGGACAGCAAAGAGCTAGAGAACTAAATGGAATCCCTAAAACAAATCCTTGCTGAATATATATAGGCTAGCTTTTTAATATTTCTGCATTAAATAGGTTCTTACTGTATTTACTCAAGAGCACAGCCAAAATAAAAATACTGGTATACTTTTCGATAGTGAAGTACACAGTCAGGCAGCCCTTGTCCTGAGAGCCATAATTGTGAAGATTTTACATTTTGGTTCTTAATTTCAGATCTCTTTAAACAATTGTATTCTGAACTGCTTGAGCAGCTGTTATGTTTAATTAAGTCACTTAGAGATAATTTTGAAAAGAGAACACAAATGCACAATGGTTCTAAAGTAGACAAAACGCTTGCTATTTTCATAAAAACTCACATGCCCTCCAAAGCATACCTGCAAGAATTACTGGATTGTGGTCTTTGCATGAAAATTTCCTTTTTGAGTTCTATGTTCTGGACAGTTTGCTTTGATTTCAACTAGGAAACTATAAGGAAAATGGACAACTAGGAAACTCACTTTAAGTCTAAAATGAGACAGACTCAAGCAGTTAACATTAATGTAGGTGGTAATTAAATTCATTATCAAAAGGACAATTTGTGATTGACAGATTGTGAAAAGCATTCCCTTGCTCTTTTCATGAGTATAATAACTTCTGATATGAATGAGATTGTTACTGTCAAGACATTACTCAATAGCTAACTGTGAAAAAAACAAAAATTACAAAAGAAAATAAGAATGGATATCAAACTATAAAGAATACATCGCTGATTGGACAGCTTCCAGAATAATCAACGAAACAGCAGTTAACAAATTAACGGCAGATTAACAAATGAGTACGTTTTTGACACAATCAACCATGAATTAAAATAGTTCAAGCAGGGACCTGCGTCAGCATGCGTAGGCTACAAAGGAAGTAAAGGTTTGTTTCATGTTGAAAAGAGAAGAGGCTGTGCCGCCCCTCAGTCATTTCTATGATATTTTATATACTGTATATGAATATATAAGACAACTAATGTATGAATTCAGTGGACCAGACAACTTGTTTTGCCCTTGTTTAATTCAAATACCAATTATTGAGCACCTGGTATTTTTATAAAATTGCATAAGTGAGCGTAGGCTTAGTGTTTTTACCTCATGGAACAATATGACTCAATCAACAACACTATCTGCTAGCTTTTTAAGATGTTAACAGTATTATGTAATCAGTGAGCTACAGATGTGTTTTAATTGTGCATGAGTATATGAGGTATAAACGTATAAGTTGCATGAGGTATTAAAAGAAAGTTTAATTAATACTGTAATTGGATTCTAACATTCAAAGCATATGCTTTTAATCCTTTAAGAATGAAAAGGCCGAAATTAAAATAAATAAATCAAAATCAGCACAGCTATGAATACTGTACAACAACCTACTGTATTCCCAAATGTATATTAAAGAAAATTAAATAAGGATCTAGAGCAGAACAATAGTTTTTGGAATTAAAAAAAGGTATTGCATAAACGGACACATAAATAACTCTTTCATACAAGCTTTATGTACATTCTTTTAAGGGCTGTTTGAAAGGTCCTTGAGTAGTTCATTCCTTGACTTATGTTTCTTTCAGAAAATAAACACATAAAACAGACGCAGAGTTACCTCTAAAAATTCATTGCATCTGTCGTGTTAGAAAATTGCCACTTTTTCTATTGAAAGTAACAAATATGACGGTCATAACATTTTATCTTGATGGGGGAAGGAATGCCAAAGCTCAGCAGTGAAGATTCAATTTGCATCTTAAAAAATAGACACTTTTTCTTCTTGTCTGCACATAAAGCTAGAATAAGGATTTCTGTTTTCTGGTTGTAATGGCATTCTCTCCGTCTTGCAAATTGAAACAACATGAAGCACAATTTTTCACAGCAGGCGATAAATTTTAGGTGGGAACAGGGAAATATATTCATACACAGACGCAGATAGCCATCTGCACAACTGCAGGGAACTATACACCAATGTACTGTGTCACTGGTTTGGCACTAGTCAGATTCAGATTATACCCCAGTGCTTATTGCGGAAAGACACGAGGGATGCCCTTTAATTCCAGTTCGAAGGAATTGTGCGATAAGAGAAATTAGCTTCAGTATTTCAGAAGAGCTGTCAATTAATTCATGGACTGAAGAGCAAAAGAAAAAAAACAACAATCCTGGTTAATAACTAATACAGTAGCAGGATGACACTCTTGTTTGGCACTTTACCAAATGACGTAGGTAACACTGAATAAATAATGGCTTCAGCAAACAATTTTCAATATTTTCCGTAAAACTTTATGACAACTGATCTTCCTCCAGTCATTGACCACTCATTTCGATTAAGTTGTATTTTTGCAGAATAACTGCCGGGATGAAAATAACAGCATAACATGCATACCCAGGGCCCCAGACGTTTGATAATAACAGCAGAGAATTTTAAGAGAACAGAAAGACAAATGAAGAAAATTAAGACATTAACGGGTTAACAGACAAAAAGCACGTCTTAAATAGAAATTTGATCACAAACAGCTGTCAGTGACTATCTCCCTGCAGTTCTCAAAAACAGACACTATAGAAAGTATACTGTATGCTTGCACCTGCAGTGCGAAACTGTGATGCTCAAATCAAGAAATTATTCACTGGTGAATGAGCATTTTGCATTTTACATTTGTAGCAAGTCTTCAGTCAGTACCTGTCTTTCGACAGAGAAACAGAAACTGTAAGAAGTGCACAGCTCTCTGCAATTTAAATTGATCAATATTTCTGATCAAAAATGCAAACTGCTGATTTAAGTAATAGCCACTAGGCACATATGTAGGTTTGGTCTTCTAGAGACCCTTTAGAAAGATATGTAATCAACATGGTATCAGAAATGAATGGATACATACTTCAGCTCTGCATAAATGATGATGATCATCATTAGAAGTATTCAGAGCGATCTATTCAGAAAGAACACCATTCCTTTCAGGATAATTTGAGTCTGAAATAGTTTTAAAGACAACATTTTGCCTGTAAAACTATTTCAATCAAACTGAAGAAAAAGAAACTTTCTGCTGGCATGTCCGAATAAAATGCATCAGTTAAAAAGTAACAACAATGGCAAAAAAAACAAACCCAAAATCTGAAAGTCTAGAGTGGCCTTTTTAATGTGATGATTATCCCCTTATAGTCACACATCCTCTTTTTCGAGTTAGGGGATGTTTAAGCTTTAAGTGAGAGACGAAAGAGAAAGTCTCAGACTTCCCCCTTCCTCTGAATAATTCATGTGAAATTAAAACAATGCACGCAGCAGGGAGAAAATAAACATGCTGCGTGCCTGGTTGTATTTCAAATCGATAATTTCTTCTAACTGCTACACAGTCAGAAAACAGTATGGGGCCAACATTACTGCTGTCTTAATAATTAAAATATTTAAGCATTCTTTGTCAATGAGACTGGATATGAATAAAATACACAAAAAAGAAAGAAGCAATTCTGTAACTGATGTGGTCTTTCTGCACTGTAAAACTCTCATTCTCTACTCAATACTATAACTTTGTATGAAGGATTGAAATAATTTAATTACAAATGCAAAACCCTATACATCCACTATTATGAATTCAATTTAAAAATTGTGCACCTCTTCAATTTCTTAATGACATTTTAATTTGATCTGTCTGCCTCCCATCCCATTCAGGCCTCATTTGGCTTTCAGGCACTTTAAAGGCAGGGTAATTAGGGAAGCAAAAGACAAAACAAGGTCTAGCACTAAAACCAATAATGAACCCCATAAATATTTGACAGGTATTCTAGAAACAAATGCTGAGTAGGAGAAGAAAACTGCAAATCAATCGATACTCCAGACTATTATCTTAAACAGAAATTGAGTGTAGCAAATCCTTTATTTTCTTCATTTATGTCCCCTTGCCTTGAACTGTGTCAGAGCTATTATGAGATTTCATGACGAGAATTCATTTATTACAATACTGCTGTAGAGGCTGCTCCCTACTGCGCTGCTCTCCTGTCTGCTAGACTGCATTAGACATATTATCAGAGGAAACAGAGAATTAAATAATTGGAAGCAGTCTTGATGGCTTCATGATTTTTAAAATGCAAAACATACTTTAAGGAAAATAATCATGGCAAGATTCGGGGGAAAAGACCACGTATGCTTTGATTCTACTCATCTACTGAAGATTTTAGCTTTAGTAACTGCTTATTTTTTTGGTTTTGAGGACAGAACAAATTAGAATAAGAAATACAGTAGTTCTTAGAAATAGTTTCTTATTGTTCTTTTTTTCTGATCAGTCCCACCTTTGCTGAAATGTGGAACATAACAACACAATAATTTACAAAAGTTAGTTTATCTTAATTTTCATGGAAAGTAATTATACTAATTACAGCATACAGGTGACTGACAAATCCTTTAAGAAATTATCTTCTTTGCCAATAAGGGTGTCATACTGTACAGTATGTTGTCTAACCACAGTAAATAAGTCATGATGCTTAGAACAACTGTCGATTACTCCCACACAATATGAAACTGATGCAAAAGACAAAAACAGAGACCTAAATATCAAAGCAGAGTTCAGATCACTTTTCAACAGCATTTGATAAACTGTATAATAAATGTATTTCTGACTCTAATGAATGAGTACCCTGCAATAGTACAATACAGTGAGATAATCGCAAATAGACTGCCACCCCTCTGCAATTTTAAAGAATGCTACAAAAATGGAACGGTCATTTATGTATTTACTTACTCTGGCAAATTTAATCATTCAGTTTTACTACAAGAATGATCAAAGGACCTCTTTTTGTCAAGTTTTCACTGCTAAGAATTTAATCAAAGTAAAGATTTTATTATTAAGATAAAGATTTTATTATAGACTTGTCAACTATGTCTTAAACTACCAGAATTCAAGCTGGTGAAGCACTTTGAAATACCCCTCCTGTTGTTGATACTTTCATTGGGTTGTGTTTTTCCATTATAACATGAAATTATATAGTAGTGTATGTAATGATAGTCTATTACACACAGTACAAATATACCTAAAAAAAATTTTAAGATGGAATGCATTGATTTTAGTTGCTGATCATTCAAATATTTGCAATGCAGTGCTCCTACCAACTTAAGCTTCAGTAAGGGCTCAGGATTAACCTAATCTTTTTGTACAAGATAAATAAACTGTTGTGAAATCTATGCTCAACAGAATACAGTGCTCCATTACAGCACTGACATTTTAGTGTCTATTGCCATAAGGTTCCAAACAGGAGGCTATTCTGCCTATCTGCCTGTTTGGTAGTCACAAGGTAACTGATCTTATCCAGTCGTTTTTTGAAAGAAGCTAGGGTACAGGCCTCAACAACATCGCTGGGTAGGATGTTCCACATGCCCACTAACCAAAATGAAATCAGCGACTCAAACACCTGCTTTCACATGCTTCTATCATTAGAGCTAAATAACATAAGGCCCACAGGTTCCTTAAAAGAACACAGTAAACAAAGAAAACAAGCTGCAACCGACATAATGAATGTTGCCGCAATGCAAGCAGATGGGAATTAGTAAAAGCAGCTTCGACCAAACTGAAATTTATAAAAATTCTAACTTGTCATTTGGTTGACAAGGGCAATACAGGACTGCTGCAGTTAAAGAAATAAAGAGACAAATAAAGAAAATTAGTTCTACAGTTGTGGCATGATGAAATGAGGACCCTATAGTGGACACTGATTTTTATCACACCCTGAGTGACTGGGCCAATGCAATACCATACTATCAAGCTCTCAGCAAATGATTAAATTGGCTGGTGTATTTCCGTTAGCTCATGCTGCTGTTGGTGTTCTAGAACTGGGTAGACTCCTTGAGAAGCTGAGGTACCATAAACTGGAATAATGTATACTAAGGAAAACGTATATATCATAAATATCAGCTATAAATCTGTAAAATAAACAGAAACCTGTCAATTAATCATAACTTTAGGTTGACACTATTGCTCATTTCAAATTCACCTTAAGGCATGTTAGTGACCTATTCACCGTATGGTACATGTCTGCTTTTAAGTCATTCTTTTAACTTTTTTTAGAATTCTGATTTAGATTCCTTTAACATCTATCGTTACCATCTCCAGTGGTTACTAAACACAATGAAATGATGCCTGATAAACAACAACTCTTTGTGCAAGATAAAGGATGGATTTATTAAGCTATCCCACGTTTTCCAGTGCTTACATCATCAAAATGTACCTCAGAACCCATCTACACACTGTATTAATGAGCTATTAGGTGTTTGTGGATAAACAATTTACAGCTCAACCCTATTAACCATGCCTCATAATAAAATGCATCTGGGTATGGAGCTGAAGCACAACCCTCACACCAGAAATGAACAAATCCATCTAGTGCCAGCGACAGACAATTTATTTCTTTCAGTTGGACAGATTTACGCAAACCTTATGTCGTTAGTTTGACAAGTCTATTTACTAAGGAAAGGCTCTTAAGGGGATAGCAAAAGCAAAGGTTTTTTAATCTAATTTACACACTCATTACATGATGTATATATCAAAAGACATCTTTGTTTTGTTTCCAGTAGCCTTTCCTTTGTCAAATATGGTGTAGATTGATTGATTTACAAGATTTAATAACTTATCCCCATGGTGTGACAAGGCTATTTATACATTTTCCTACTTTCAAATTTACATGAAACCCACATCTTCAATAAAAACAAAATATAGTAATCACCCACTATAGCCAATTAGTAAATAAAAGGACACCTTAATATGAAGAACAGATTTTCATTTAATATTAAAATTCTGCTTTCTGCTTTACACATACTGTACACAGCTAGTTGATACACATTTTTTAGAGTGAACTGGCAATTCACTTCTGACCAAGTTGCCAAAGTAAGTAACACTTAAATACTGTACTATTACCACAAGAAATTGTTTCAGGATAAATAAGTCATCTCGCAGTCCTGGTATGATATATTCACTAATCAATCCCCTGCACTCTCATGTTTATTTTTGGGCGACCTAAAACACTTTTTTTACATTAAACCTCACTGCATTAAAATCCATTAATACTGAGGCCCTCGCTTCTATCTGTATTTTATGCAGGCACTGTATGTCAATCTACGTCTTCCTCACTTCAATTCACCCCAATTGATTTTCCTCAAAGAACGTGATGACACTCTGTAACCCACATAAATATTAAAGCTACAGTAAGTGGCAGTAGTGTGGCTTCTTTTCATTTTCACAGCCTCAAGAAGGTGACCCCAAAACCAACTTATTTTAACAAACAAGTTAAAAAAGTGGACAAGCCAAGCTGATGGGATTTTTATTAAAAAGGATTGTTGCCTATCTAGGTTTAGAGGGATGTTAGTGTTCCACTTCAGTCAGCATGTAAATAGCGGCACATTTATTTTCCACAAAGACAGGCAATTTGGTATATTAGCTCAGCGATGCTGACAAGCGTTGATTTGTGGATCGTTTAAGGACTCACCAGGTGCGTCCCTTAATTGACTGTGGTAAAGCAGTATTAGAGCAAAAAGCAATTAAGGATCTTGATGACAAAAAAATACAACTGTATTTGAATAAAAAGTGGATTCCATTTTCTCAGGGATTAATCTCACATCTCAAAGCAGCTTCATAAGACATTTTGGCAAGGACAACTAAATTTGCTTCTAATGTCAAAGTTTACATTTAAAAAAAATTGTTACCGTGTTAATTTAACTACGTAATTGGATATCCTGCTGATGTGCTTTTTATATAAAGATCTAGAAATATATTTAGCATCGAAAAACATGCAGGGAAACATGCACATCCCCCCCAACAACATACAGTACTTGTCCCTGTCCTGCTCTTAGGACAGTTTTTAAATGAATGTGCAAATTTACACAGCATAATAAACACTATTATGAAGACAAATTCAGGTTTATATTCATATTAACAGTAACTTATTATGAGCAATTAATTACAGTTACAATTACGAGATCTGATTAAATGCACTGTAGCACTTTAATAGTATCAACTTTTTTATGTTAAAAATGGATTATGTGCATCTGCACAAATATTCAGTATTTGACACGCAGATACTTATCTGTGGTAAAAACAAAGGACATTTTCAACACAGTTCACTGCTTAGTAAGTAACAGAAAAAATAGCTGTTTTGCCATTTATTAGGGAAGAAAATGCAGAGCGATAATACTCCCAATAATAAATAAGGACCTTTAAAAACTAATGAAGTGACAAAACATACCCGTACTACGTTTTATTTGCTTACCAAAGTCTTTATGACAAGACATCCATCCAATAGCTTTGATTGACACCAAGGCCAAGAGCCCAGATCCTACGAAGGAGCCAATCCCAGAGAAGAAAAAGAACAGACCCATAATGGCACTCTGCATGGACTTGGGGGCTGCAGAGTACGCAAACTCCAGACCTGCAAGAAATACAGAAAGAAACAGAAGGCTTTTAGTCCCGCTGCATTTATGCTCAGACGTTACTGTTGTTCTCCTATGCAGCAACCCCAGTCTATGGTTCAGTAAGGATTCTTAGCTTTTTAAAACATTTAGGGTTTTTTTTTTATTTAAAGATTTTGGAAAGCATCTTAAAACATGAGAAAATCCATTCTGGAAATGCCTCAAAATGTTCAAATCTTAATTCTTTGATTTTAATAATATGTACAGTAGCAGCTCTCAAGCATTTATAGACATTTCCCCTTAAGGTTGATCTGTGGGATCATCAGCCTCAATGCTATTACTGCCATTGTTGTGTAAATACAAGATACCAGAGATTAGATGAATACTCATAATTTTCTGATTTCCTTGATGGTATTGCCCCTGCCTTGTTTTACAAAAAGAACACGACTCTTAAAAATAAAGGAAACATGCAACATTACCCATGAAATTGCACCCTTAAGGCAGCTGCTTTAGTTTTGATCAATGTGCATGATCAATATCACCACAGCAGCGATCTGTCCCGATATTAAAAGCTCTGAGAGATGAAGAAATAAGACCAAAAGACCCCAAAAACAAGACTCAGTTGTAATATTCTAGCCTCTTTGTTTGTTGCAATCAAAAAATCCTTAAATCACCTACAGTACATAGTCTGGTTATTGCTGGAAAGGTCTCTCAAAATTTAATCTAGCATAAAAAAAGATCAGATCTTTTCTTTGCCATAAGAGTTCTTCCTGCCTGCTGGCTGCCATTGATAATTTCATGGCATCTCAAACCTGTGATTTTTCAAATTAAGCCCTATAGCTGCAGCTGTCAGGAAAGATTATGAGGCTCTGGTTAAATAAGGATGCCTTTAGAGACCTTCCTTGAAGGGTAACATTACTACAAATTAATGCAATGCACGGCATCCCTCAAAGGTACCTGTACCGGAACTAATGCAGCTCGTTAGGAAATGGAAGAGAAAAAAAAAGTGCTTTCTCCTCTGGTGGAAAAGGGAGGAAAAAAAACACTCCGATTCTGCAGGCATGTCAGATTGCCTGGTGCCGTTTGTTTGCCCTTTAAAAGAACAGCTAGAATATAGATTTTCTTCTGTGAACTACCCCTTCAAATGTGTAAGCAGAGCATTCAGTGATGATGCTCTCCAACCTAATTCAATAAAAAAGTACATAAAAAAAGATTGTAATGAACTCTTTGTTTTAATTTCAAATACAAAATTATGTGTAAAAAAAACTTGTCACTGCAGCTCACTAAGTTATTCAAAACAGGATTCTAGTTCACGGTATACACTGTATGAGTTTCTGTATAAAGAATTCCTGACATTTTTGGCCAAAAGGATATCTTGTATCTACAGTATATACCAAGGAAATTTGAACAATGGGATTATCACAGAATCAATAAAGCTGTATGCTGGAACATTAGTATGGTATTTGTTTGGCCTAACATCAATGTGAGATGTCTCATGTGGAGGGTGACTATATTCCTGCTCCTCTGAAGCTTAAAACAAGGCTCACCTTGGGTTTTGGGAAACTGCTTACTGCCTCCTGTTGATCTCTGAATGTTACAGAACACCAAGAGATTACAAATTAGAGAAGGCCATTTAGATCATCTTGCTCATTTGGTCGCAAGTAGTTTATTGATCCAAGAACCTTGGCCAAGTACAAAGTTGGACAGTTTGTTTCAAGTGCCTCGTGCTTTCCGCATACGTACAGTACTTGCTCTTTTTTTTACCTCCATCAGCCGTTAATATGGCCTTTTTGGTAGTTAAACAGTGAATCCGTGAATACTTTACCAGAGAATCTATAACCTGGTAACCATGGCGCTCATATCAAGATTCTGTAGCCCCCCAAAATTAATAATTGATAAAGATCTGTTTACAATTGTCATTCAATACACTAAAAGGTAGAAAAAAGCCATTGAACAATAACAGAGAACACACCTATAATGAGATATATAGAATGAAAGGTCTAGTGGGCCTTAATAGAGGAGTATAATTCATGATGATTTCTAGATCATACTGAAGGAAATAAACTGGGTGTCCTTTCTTGTCTGTACGTCTGAATAACTGAAAGAAAGATAGAACTTTACTAGTTTTATTTTCCCTTGGGCCATGTCAAAGGGAGCAATCTTTCTTTAGGTGAAAATATTAGCTTTATATATAGAGCAATATATAATTAAAAATCCCCAAAGGCATTTTCTTACAAGGTTTAGCATACTCCCTGCAACCTACACAGCTGTGCCAGCAGGAAGTACAGGGAAAAGGAATGACCCTCATACCTCTGGCTGTGGTGGTAGTTAGTAGGGGGCAATCAACATGAATTGCAGGTATACATGTTTTCTGATTTATTATTATTATTAAATGAGGTCACAAAACAGCCTTAAAAACTGCAAAACTTTTCCACATTTCTTTTCTCTAAACACATTTCTTTAATTTGCCATTTTGTATTTCATGCAATCCCCATCCTACAAGATGTATAAAGATGGAATGCAGAAATCCCATCCCTTAAAGGATCTAGCTGATGTGACAAGAGATCTATGAGATTTACGCAGGTTCTACACTAACATGCCTACCAATAAATATTCACTTCACAGGCTGATGATGTTTTTTTGCTCTTTAGAGTAGTCAGTGAAATTAAACAGAAAATGTTTTAAGAAAAATAAGCAAAAAAGTCCAATAAATATAAATTATCCCCTTACCACAGGCTTACATTGATCATATTCTTTACACCTATAGCTATCAGTCAGTGGAGAAGATACAGAAAAAACCAAAACAAATGGCATAATTGCTGTCCAAGAGAAAACTTGACTCAACCTTCCAAAAGAACAGTAGAAGAAAAGGTTAAAGTAGATCTCCAACTTCTTTTAAGACTGCCAATTATAGCTGTTACAGAGTCTTTGGAGGTGATGAGCACCGGCTATATCCAGGCAAGAGGACCTCACTTTAATGAGTCTATGGGCATTAAAACCAAGATTAATTTAGAGCGATGCTATTTCTTTTTTTTTTTGAAAAAACGCCTCAAACTTTGGCACTCAATCTTGCCATCTGCCTCTCATTTTAATTATTAAGACCTATTAAAAAGAATAAATAGTGAGTTTTATAAGGCCAGTCAATGAAAAATGTCTTTGTAAAATAATGATTTTGAAGCATTTAGCCAGAATTACTGTTAAACTCTTCCTCAATTTTCAGAAGAGCCGTAGGGTCTAAGAGTCAGTCACTCCATGAAATAGTAATACCCCTTTATGCTGTAGATAATGAGCAGTGAAATTACTCAGGACGCAATAAAAATAATTCTGCATGCTAAAAAACTCCCAGCTCATCACCGGTATTCATACCTTGATATTTCTCTGAGTGAACCACTGCAATTTCTTAATAAGGACTATTGTGTTCTAAGCAAATTTCATCTACTATGCCAAAGATGGGGACGTGTGATCTACTACCTCTGTTCTGGTCATGAACATATTGCCAAAAGGAATAAACCTTTGCTGGGATAACCTAAAATTCAGAAAAATAAGTGAGGTCTCTGGCTTCTTTTACCAGGATATACCAAATTATGTAAAACAGATTTACAAAGGATTTGGACAGGGAATTTTCATTGTAAATCTAAAGTAGATTTTATTGATTTTATAGCTAGATCAACACAGTATTTCCTGCATTTAATAGATTACTAATCTCAAACAGCTCTAAATTCTAATGCCTTAAAAGACAGGAGAAGACTATGTTTGCAGACCTCTGTCCAAACATCCAAATCCAGATTCAATGATTTAACTGTTGGCAAATATCCTTTGTAATGGAAAATCAAAAAACGAATTATGAGAATGTACTCAATAACCGTCTCGAGATGTCTGTATCTAAAAAATTAACAATGCTCAGACGAAACACTATACATGCACAGGACCATTTACAGTACCGTACTTCTGCATGAAAGAGCCAATTCATAGATGGGGATTATTAGGAGGCCATGGTTGATAAAGGCCAACGGAAATTCTGGCCAGGACACCAGGATAACAGCCCTATACTTTTCAAGAAACTCCTGGGGATTTTTAATGATCCTGGAGAGTCAGGACCTCGGTTTTACATCTCATCCGAAAGAACGGCGCCTTTTTACAGTACACTGTCCACTTCACTCTACTGGGGCATCAGGGCCCACACAGACTACAAGGTGAGTGCCCCCTACTGGTCCCACTAACGCATCATTCCAGCTTCGTTTTTCCCAGGTGGTCTCCTATCCAAGTATTGACCAGGCTAACACCTGCTTAGCTTCGGTGTTTACTTCAAGCTGCTAGCATGAAGTAAAATGTGAAGGCACTCATCAACACTATAAATAAGGTACTAATATAGGATTCTGCAAAAATATTAAAGGTTCTTTCTTGAAGAAAATTAAACTAAAAACAAAAACAAAACAAACTTCAATATTTCACTTGAAAGCAAATTCACCTATTGTCACTCACTGGTCTTCCTTCATGTTCTTTCGCTGTCCTTTCCTCTAGTGCTGTAGACATGTTCTTTAAATTACAAACTTTAAAACATACTGAGTGCCTCCTTAAGGGACAGGACCCATCCCTTTCTCTAACTATCATGACTTTGTAAGGCAAATTGCAGATGGGCTCTTTTTTCTTCTCATTGGGGAGCCCCAACCACCAATTTGCTCCTCTCTGCTAAAAAGGAGAAAAGCTCAGCAGGTGAGAAACAGCTTTTGCAGTGTCTGAAGAAAGAGGAGTACCCTTTTTCATTCAATTCCCCCCCAACACACTTTCCTTCTCCTTCTTCCTATTAAACCCTCTGTTCTGCCTCTTCAGTCATTTTTAAAGCAAACAGGAGGCAGCCGGTCCAGTAACAAATAGAATTGTCTATTAAATCATACCTATGTACGCAGCAATTTGAGAGCTGAAACTTATGCAACAAGGGAAGTGACAAAGTCAACCTCCTTGAAATAGTCTACCAAATTCTAATTAAGGCAGAGAAAAGAGCTGCAATCAGTCACCTCGTCTCGTTCAAAATATTATGGATAAAACCACACAATCTGTAGCAGTTTGTGGTACAAAGTGGTGCTTATTAGGGGTGGTTTAGCGTTATATGGAGCTAGGGATGTGTACCCCTTGATTAGTTTCCTGGCAGATCAAAAACCAGCAGGAGATAAAAAACAGCTTCGACCTTGGAGAAGGTTATGAAAGCAGCAGTGAAAACAGTTGGAATGGACAGTGTAGCTGAAATGAAAAATATAAATCTGGAGTGATGAAAAAAACTCAAACTTTTGCTGCTGCAGGAGGACTGAATTTAAATGCAGACTACATCGTTTCTCAAGCTCTTACACAGAATGCTCAAAGCACAGATTTCACATTCCCATGTAAATTGAATCTCTATAGTTGTAGTGCATCTTCGAGTTCCTCAAATCACAAAAAATGTGCCATTTTAATATTAAGCAACAAAAGTTCACACAAAGATCCAGACTGGTAGAGATATTCATTAAAAGCCCATCAGCCACACAAAGCAAACTTTACTATATATGTGACAGGAATATTCACTGTAAATTAGATTCTTCTTATTGTAGAGGTACAGTATGTCCTATTTCAGGTTTTATATACCACTGGTTCTAGTATAAAATGACATTAAAATAAAACAGCTACCTTTGAGGGTAAAATAGTCTTCTGCCCTTTGCTTTTGGAATAGGCATCAGATAACTGTGACACTTACAGAAATAAGTTAGATATATGGAAATTACATAATAAATACATTTATTTTTGTCTGAACCAGATATCATAAAACATAAAAAGGATGAGAAAAGTAATGAACAGTAATTCATAAGGTAAACAATACATTTTAATCTTCTTTGAAAACAAAAAAAGCTAAATGTGACCATATTTAAGCAAAGCTGAGCCTTTAAATGTTCCTTTTTACTGTGTGACCCTTGTCTCTCACTTAGAGGACACTACATTGATGGATACAAAAGAATATTTTCCTGGTGTTCCATAGCACCATGTCTCCAACGTGTAGCTCTAAACCTGACCTTGTCAGTTTCATCAACTTATTGGCCTCCAAATCAATTGCACCTGATTGATACTGCAGTGCATTCCTTATCTAGCAAATTCACGAACAACAGCATGATAAAAAAAACAAATAAATTAAAAAAGCATGGTGACAACAAAAGCCGTGATCCCGAAAGAGTTTTTACTCATTTAAAAAGAACAAACATTGATTTGGAGAGTCATTAGACATGATGGATAAGGCTGGAGATCTCCACAAGATCAAGGAATAAATGCTAAATTTGTAGTACTTTCCAACATCTTTGTGACTGAAAAGGATGTATATACACCAAGTTAACACTGAATTTAGAAGCTATAGAACTACAGAGAAAAAGCATTGTCTCTTGGATGCTGTGATGTCAACATCTAAACAATTAAACTCATGTTATTTGTTAATTTGCCACTTACCTGCGATGCTTGCGAATATCTCACTTATTCCTATAAGCACATACTGTGGTATCTGCCACCATATGGCCAGATCTGCTGCATAGTAGGTTACATTGCCGATGACTTGATCAATGGTACCATTCTTGATGATATCCAGCCTTTTGCTCTCCAAAATTCCTAAAAAAGAAAAGAAAAGATAAACCATAAATATTCCTGGCACGGCTCAAAAAACACCTTTTATTTTCCTTTTTAAAGCATCTTAAGAAATCATTTGAGTTAAAAGAAATGGATGGCATTACCATATGTGCAAGACATTTATAAAGGAAAAATAAACTCCTAGCAGTGAGGT